ATAGAGTCAGAGTGCTATAGAGTCAGAGTATTATAGAGTCAGAGTGCTATAGAGTCAGAGTATTATAGAGTCAGAGTGCTATAGAGTCAGAGTATTATAGAGTCAGGGTGCTATAGAGTCAGAGTATTATAGAGTCAGGTGCTATAGAGTCAGAGTACTATAGAGTACATGTGCTTAAAGCTGCAGGTTCGGCTGATGTACCCTGGGGGGCGGTCAGAGGTCGGCCATGTTCTTCACACCAGCCCACAGGATGGATGTACGGACTGCTGCTGTCGCACCTGAAGGACCAACAAACACCGAGGCAGACGTCAGCCCTGAACATCAGTGAGCGGAACAGAAACGGCTGCAGCGCCCCCTGCTGACCAACTCTAACACTGCAGCTAACCCATAATCCACCTGTCCGTCTCACCAGTAGTCGTACGTGTCGTCCCAGTTGTCGAAGTGAACCAGGAAGCGTTCCTCAACCACGTCGGCCACGGACGCCACACAGACCAGCCCGGGGTTCTTCTTGTCCACCGCCTCCAGCTTCATCCCCACCTGGAACGCACAATCCTGACAGACAGACGGACGTCAGCTGGACGCAGACAGGTAAAGGACGTAACCCGCCGGGCGTTCCCTCACCGTGGAGCGGCGGGTGAACAGGGAGGCCGGAGCGGCGTGGGACCCTGTCGACTGGAGGTAGTCCTGCCAGTCGAACTCCGCCTCGCTCTGACCTATGGGCAGACAGACGGGCGGATACGGTTACCTGGAACGGAGACTCACCTGGACGGCAGCCAGCTTCCTGTTCTCACCTTTGGGTGGGTGGAGCTTGTGGCTGTGCTCTTTACACCAGCCGGCAGGTTTGATGTCTGCAGAATCCGCATTTACCCAGAAGTCATAGCACTCCGAGTAACCGTCGATGTGGAGCCGCAGCCGACAGCCAATCACCTGAGGGGGGAGACACATGTCCTCACGTCCTCATGTCCTCCCTCGCTGCCGTCAATGTGTGTGTGTGGCGTTACCTCGGCGACTGTCAGCACGCAAAACATGGAGGGATGCAGCGGGTCGACACCTTCCAGCTTCATGCCCGCTTTGAAGGCCGCTCTCCTGCTGGGGAAGGACTGTTCCTGGGAGGCAGACAGGCGGCGGTCAGTGGGCATGGCCCGCCTGCCGCCGCCCGGCGGCGCTCTGCGTGTTTCTCACCTGCGTGAAGACAGAGGGCGGAGCCGCCTCGGCTTTCTGCTCGTTCAGGTACTGCTGCCAGGACCAGGACCGCCTCTTCACGCTCACTGCGGAACAGAACCGACCCGTCCGATTCCCATCAGCCTGATGATGAAGATGATGATGATGATGAAGACCTTACCTTGAGTGCTGCTGACTTTGTTCTTCATCTCCTCCTCCTCTTCCTCTTCTGTTCGGTTCGGTCCACACCGAATCAAACGCGACCTCTTCTTCTTCTCTGCAACATATGGATGACATCATGACCTCATGACGCCATGCTGCTGCCCTCTAGCTGCCACACCCAGAACATCCTGCAGGACCTGTCAGAACCAGAGTCTGGGTCCAACAGAACCTTCCAGAACCATCAGGTGTGGCTCTGTCCTGCTGACGTGGACCAGAACGGTTACCATGGTGATCCATCAGAGTCCCAGTCTGGGTCTGATCAGAACCGGATTCTGCTGTGAGGCTGACTGTCCTCCTCTGCAGGGACAGATTAGGATTATTAATCTGATCCATCAGCTGCTTGATGAACAGACTCCTGATCCAGAACCAGGTTCTGATCCAGAACCAGGTTCTGGATCAGCTTTGGATCGGTACCGTCACTGATTCCACTGAACTAAAACTAACACAGGAAGTCAGCAGCCGGACCTTCAGAGTAAAAGCCCAGAGGACCAGAACTGGGTCTTTGTTCAGAACCCACAGACAAACTGGTTCTTCTGTTGACACTGAACCAGAACCTCCGGCTGGTTCCGAACCTCAAAGGGTCAGCTGAGAACAGCAGCGGACCGGAACCGATCGAGCGGCTCTTATTGTGAAGGCAGAGCGGAAGTGAAGCCAGCCTGTCTGCTCGGTGATTGACAGGAGAAAAGAATCAGGTGGAGATCTGCGGCTCCGAGGCCGGCGGATCGGCCGCAGGGCCCGGTTCGGCCTGCCGGACCCATCCGGACTCACGAGCCGCTAAACTGGACCCACTGAGCCCAGAGGAACCGGAACCGGAACCAGGATTATGGGCTAAACTTACCAACTGGGATGATCCGCGTCACTTCGCTGAAACAGAACAACACGGAAACTGGAGGCTGGGAGGGAACTGCGCATGCGCAGCAGGGGGAGGGGGAGGAGAGTGGGAGGGGGGGTTTGATGGATGGAGCCAATCAACCAATCAGAGGATCAGATCTTTCACACCACAGAAAGATATTAATGAAAAACCTATAAGATAAACATTAAAACTTAAAAGAGAAATTTTAAACAAGTAAATGATCCGTTTCCTGAAAGCAGGGACATTTTTATTTAATAAAGAAATAAATGTAAAACATTTTAACTGTCTAAGCACACATAGATTTTTATATGAACCTGTTTTTAGAGTCCCTTCTGTAAAGTCTGTGCTCTCTCTATGCCGATGAAATCACAGAATGATTCCCATGTTTTGTAAAATAACAGGTTTGACCTGAAGCCAGGAGGTCATTTCCTCCAAGGGGATTAGTTCCTTCACACTCTGCAACCTCTGGGAAAGCGTATTTTTATCAGAGGTCCATGAACACACCGTCTGACACTAAATAGAAGAACATCTAACCGTCTCTGCATGTCAGAATTTAAGTTCAGGTCAGGATGTAAACCAAGCAGGCAGGACAGTGGGGTTAGGTCCAGATCCTTACCAAATATGATAGATATTTCTTTACAGATCAGAAATGTTTAATGAGGGGCAGTCAAAGATGCAATGGTAGCGTGATCCCTCTGAGATCTGCATTTATTACAGTATTTTAAAAGTTTGGGGTTAAATTTATTCCTAATATTGGTGTAATCTGGAGCCTAGGGCAGATTTTAGATTGTTGTTCTATAGTTTTATTGGTGGACAAGCAGCCAGGAGAAGTGATCCACACATCACCCCACCTTCCATCTGATGTCCCCAGATCAGCCTCCCAGAGCAGTTTAACATGACCTGTGTGTTATTGTTTTTTACTCTAATCATGGAGGAATTGATAAAATTATTTTTATTTGTTCATGGGGGCCTCCTAGTCGCCCCACTTTGCTTTGCCTTGGGCCGGTGTTCCGTCAGATCAACATACCTATAGTCAATGCGCAGCGCAAGACGTGAGATTAGCGTGTTTCCCTTTAGTCATGTACAAAAAGAGATCACCATACGCTTCAAAAAACACGCAATAGTAAGAAATTAAATAGTTTTTGTACGTGACTAAAGGGATACTCGCACGTTGAGGTAGTTTAAAGTCTATTTATCGTACAAAACTAAAGAAGCGATAAATGGGTATTGACTAAGGGTATGCTGGTCTGACAGAACACCGGCTCTGTGCAGCAGCCTGTTTACTCTGCAGATAGTGACTCTCTGACCTGCTCTAACATTCTCAGATCTACACCTAAAAACATTTGGATGTCACTCTATTATAGATTCTTTAAAGACGAGCAGATTCTGTTAGATTATTAATCTGGTTTGAGAAGGTTCTGCTTGAAAGTAAATAATCCAGCGGTGCTCCTGGTGAAACGTCTCGTTATAAAAATAAAGTTTTAGCAGGTTTATTTGTTTGGTGGACTGAGAGATTATTGCACTTTATTTAAACAGAATCTTTTCTCCAGAGAGGATTAATAATCTAACAGATTCTGCTAATTCTACGATTATGAGACTTGGTTAGATGGACGCAGAGTTTTTAATCTAGACCACCAGAGAAAAGACCTGATAGCCTGGTCTGTTGACGATTCGAGTCGAGTTTCTCCAGCTCCTGCGCTGACAGGAACCCTTTGGTCTGTGGATGTTTTTCAAGATGGCAGAATTCCTCTGGGTTCTGGACCGGTCCTGGACTTTAATGTGGTTCAGAAACAGAGCCAGTCCGGGTTCTGGTGGGCGTCTCTTTGCAGACCTCAGAACCAGTTAGAAAGCAAACCAGTCCCCCTCTGTTTGTCCTGGTTAGGGTTAGGTTAAGGTCAACCCTTGGACCTGGAAGTGGAGCCAGAACGTGTCTTCAGCAGAACTTTTCCTGATGTTCTGACAGGATTTCTTCCAGAAGGTTTTATTGGAATCTCAGTCTGGCTCTGGATGTTATTTATAAAATCCTCTCCAACGTCACACCACCAGTAAAACCCAAACCAGTCCAGCTGTCCAACACTCCCAGTCTGAGCTGAGTCCAGCTGTCCAACACTCCCAGTCTGAGCTGGGAGCTCCTGGTGCTCCTCCTCCTCCCCCTCCTCCCTCCCTCCCCTTGTCTCCTCTCAGAGGCGATGAGCAGCCGGACTGAGCGGAGGTGAGTTCTGCCTGTTCTGTTTCTATGTTCTAGATAAACACCAGTATTTTTCAGCACTCTGGTTTCCTACAGAGAAGCACTTCTGTGAGTTTATTCTGTGGTTCTGGTCGGCTGAAGGATCCGGTTTGGACCGGACTTGAACCTGCTCTTATGCAGCTATGGGTCCAGGTTTAGTCCTGGATCTGGGGCAGGAACTTATTTCAACGTCCGTTCCATCCAGGGACCATGTAGAAACTGGATCTCATGAAACGTTCCTGTTCAAATGAATCAAAATGAAACGAATCTGTTGGGATTGAATGGTTTTTGGTTCCTTTGTTCTGCTGGTTCTGGTTTGGAACTGAACCGTCTTATTCAGCCAAACTTAACTTTAGTCCAGCAGAACTTGGATCCCACTTGTAACCAGATTTCATGGGTTCTAGAATCATCATCTGAGGTTGGATGGAGGTGGTCTTCAGAGCAGACCAGGTGAATCCAAAGTGTCCAAATGTCTTCCCCCAACAACAGGAAGCTTCTTTAGACAATCTGAGAGGTTCTCCTGGTTTGGGGAAGATATAGGAACCATTTAGGGAAGTTTAGTAGAAATCATTGAGATCAATCCTGCGTGTTGTTTGGTCCAAACGGGCTGTAGATGATTTAACACGGCTGGTTCTGTAAGATCTTCCACACCTTAGCTTGGAACCTGAAACACTGTGATGGCAAAGTTTTATAACAGAGGTAACCATTTAAAAATCCTTTGGGGTCGGACTAAAGAAAACTATCAACCAGTAAAGGTCCAGGAACATGTTTAATTATAATCTGTTACTTTATTTAACACTGAAATAAAATGAGTTGTTTATGCATCCATGTTTTACATTGAATTTTTAAATAAAAAAATAGAAAATTCTTCCGTTTCAAAATTTTAAGTGTTTTTTGAAGTAGAGAACAACAATCATTCACTTTGGTATATAGATAATTTCCTGATTCACATATTTTATAAAACACCTGAACTGACCGGACCGCAGTCTGCTGCTGACCTCTGCTTTAGGTGGTACCAGAAAGTTCCATCAGGCGGTTCTAGGGACACTTTTACTCGTTAAAGAGTCTTCTTCAGGGAGTTTACCTCCAAACCTGAAGAGTCTTGATTGGCGGCTCTACTCTGGTCCTCAACGTTTCCCAGTTAAAGAACACCTAATGTGAATTAAAGACGAGTGACACGACTGGTGGTGCGAGTAACTGCCGCCACCAGCTCAGAGACACCTCACCCGTATTCACAGCGCCGCACTGGTGATGCTTTACTATGTGACGGTTCACAATCACCATGTCCAGCAGGTCTCTCTGCGACCACGACTTCCTGTATAAAAGCTGTAGGGGGCGCTCATGCAGTGTCCGTTGACGTCACATCAGTAGGAATGCCGGGTAATTGGACCCCGACACAGCCTGTTGAAGGCAAAGGACAGATACATCGGTTGGCTCGTTGGTTTTTGTTTTTAATGCTTTATCGCTAATTAGCACAGAAAAACTAGACTTCCAAATCTATTCTTTCACTATTCCAGCCTCTAGTTTTCTTAATTACCAGGCTTTGCTGAACCAGGTCTTTTATGCATTGAGGAGCAGGTTTAAAAGACTTTTCAGGGACACAGGTGTCCAACTCCTCTCCTCTAAGATGAGTCCTGTATAACTTTTGGAAGAAGTGCTTTAGGACCCCTGAATCAAAGAATTAGGCCACTAGCAGGACTCTTGAGAACTTAGGTACATCTAAAGAAAGCAAATCGGTAAGGACATGAAGCCATAGCGCATCAGCAGACGCCATGATAAGAGCTGTCCAAATAGTGCTGACAGTCAGGGGAAAGGAGTGGAGGCTAGGAAGAGGAGGTAGGAGCTACAATTTGCACAATTGAAAATGAGGGCTTGACTGAAGGTACTTCCACCTTTTGATGGAGGTGTCTGGGACCAGGGATACATCTAAAGATTGCAGGAAACCGGGACTTGAAGATTGGAGTTTACCACCGAGTCTTGGAGGGTGTCTTGTTGAAGACACACATTTTGGGACACAACCCCACTAATAGGAACCCTTTGGGCTGCTTTTAGAGAGCTTTCAGATGGTTCTGGATATAATTATTTGGCTCCAGATAGGTGGATCTCCATCCTTGTCCTTGGGACCTGCATCTTTTAGACGTGTCTCAAGAAATGATCAGATGACCTTCTCATCAACCACCAATTGTCTGTTTACCACTTTTGGTGTATGGCAGCAAGGAGGCACCATAGACAGGCAGGACAGAGATCCCCGGGAGGTTCTAGAGTACCCAACAAAAGTAAGGAAATATCTTCTGTCGATGAAACTGCTAAACTCCTGGTAGAATCTGGAGTTGTTTTGATCCTCAAAGTCCTGCCTGAATGTCATCTGATCCAACTGAGTTTAAGGAGCAACATCAGAGCCACTGAGGAAGCTTTATGGATGCTTAGCATGAGTGCACAAGTTTGTCTATGAGAGGTCCTTCAGACGACAGAGTCCCTGACCCGGACTTAACCAGTCAGAGTCTAAACTCAGCCCCTCAAATCAGTGGGGACGTCAGGGATCTACTCTGATGTAAAGAAGTTCCAAACTGAAATGTTTCAGCTGATTTAACACGTGTCTGCTGAACAATAACCAGGTCTGATTACTATCCGAGGACCTGAGTGAAAACACTTATCTCTGATTGACCAGCAGTGTCCATTTCCTCCTAATGGACACAAAGCAGCAGCAGCAAACTTCAGTCTGAGCATCCCATTCTGTCTTCCCCTGGGAACCAAAACCATTAGCTTAAGGTTCCCGACACACACACACACACACACATAGGAACACAAACAATATCAGCCATCAACAGCTGGAAGAACCTGACTTCCTGTCAAATGCTTCATGAATATTTAAGTGAAGCTTAACTCTGGGCTGCAGAAGCCACAAACTCTGAACACAGATGTGAAGCCACAGCCTAGAAACCAGACTTCACACCTTGGGGTCCAGACCCCTTCTCCTAGGACAGGAAGCCAGACCTCATAGCTTCAGGTCCGGGCTTGGTCTCCTACAGTCAGAGCTTCACTCTTAGCAGCAGAAGTACATGACCTTGTACCTTCCAGTTAAGACATCTTCTGTAACCTACTCTGAGTGATACCTGCTTGCAAAAGTTTCAATAAACTCATCATTCTGCTTCATTCTATCTCTATTCTCCCACTCTGCAGAATCTGTTAGTTCAATCTCTAACATTCTGCTTTTTCTCATAGTAGCTTCATCTCCTTTCTCCACAGGATGTTGTCATCTCATTCTGCTACCTTTGTATCCACCTCCTCAAGCCACCCTCCACCTCACCCAGTGACCTCTGACTCCCGAAAAGTTACCATGGAAACCTACTGGAGAGAGGTCCAGAGCATCGAAGAGGAGCAGGAGGGGGAAGAAGAGGAGGAAGAAGAGGAGGAGAGTAAAAGTTTAGATGGTGAGTCAAACTGGGCTCAGGGTGGGACCTCAACATCTTGCGTGTGTCCTTTACGTCTTTATTTCATATAGAGGTGGAGTTGGAGGAGGCGTGGCTGACGGAGGCGGGGTTATCCTCGCTGCTCGTAGACTCTGCATCCACAGAGGCTCCACCTGTGGCGGAGGCCGTGCTGTCCACGTTGACGCGGCAACAAGCCGCCACGGTCAAAAAGAGGCTGGACAACTACAACGAGACACTGAGGAAAAGAAACAGGCAGCCAATCAGAGACGTGCGTGATGTCTTCACAGAGGTGGGACATAAGGAACATCCCCCAGGTGTTTTTAATCAAACCAGAGAACCTGAAGGAGAATCATCTGTTTCAGCCTGATGGGGACGCCGCAGTCCACTGTAGCCCGTTCCCAACCCAACGTCATCCGGAGTCACCGCCAAGGAGGTACCACACCACCACCAAGACCATCCGCCGCAGCACTAACAGAGGTACTGCTCAGTCTACATGCTGAAGGTCTCCGTTTGCAGGTCCTTCTGGCATTCTGCAGTTAGTTCAGGTCAGTTAGTTCAGGTCAGTTAGTTCAGGTCAGTTAGTTCAGGTCTAGCTTAGCAGCCAGAAAGGTGTTGGTTTTCCACAGCCTTTCTGGAACAGTTGTCTTCAAGTCTTTTAATGGAGACTGAATAAGTTTTATTAGCCACAAAGATGCTTCAGTCTCTCTTGTTGACGTACTTGTGAATGAGATGATGTGAACATTGGTCATTGATCTTTTTATTGTACAGACCGATCTATTTGGAAATCCTCTGTGTCTCCTAGTTACATGGAAAGACTAGTATTCATGGTCTTCCACTCATCCAGGACTGAGCTGCAGGCACAGCAATCCCAGCAGAGATTAGCAGACCTCTCTCTCCCCGGACATCTCCTGTATGTCCATTCGGGAGTGGTGGTCTAGTGGTCAGGGCATAGAGGTTGAAATCCTGAGGTTCTGAATTCGAGCCCCACTCCGACAGACTGCCACTCTGGGTCCCTGAGCAAGACCCTTAACCCCACACTGCTCCTTGGGCGCCGCACAGTGGCAGCCCACTGCTGCCCAAGGGGATGGGTTAAAGGCAGAGAGGGCAATATGCTGGTGAAGATTCTCAGTCATTCAGGTCAGAGTCATTCCAAAAAAGTAAAATCAATCCTCTGGACTTTGTTTCCAAGT